GGTGATTTCTCTTAGGGGAGGCGTCAGTCCATCCTAGTGCAGCCCCGTCTCGCGCCTGTCCCACCCCGAGTATCCAGGTAATAAACAAACCGGCAAACTCTCACTCTCCATCCATAACCTGCTGCCTCTTTTCCACTTCTACTGTTCTCTATGTGCGTCCCTGTCCATATGAAGCACCCTGTGAACTCACTGCAAGCCAACACACTGACAGGCCCACTTTACTTTTCCATTGATCTTCCAGGAAAAAAAGAGGTCTTTCACAGAATGTTTGGACAGAAGGCGCTCGTGGCTCTGAGGGGCATACCTGTGTGTTGAAAGAGTGACAACAAAGCATTTCAATAATTTAAAGTTGCACAAAGCAACTTGGCAGCAAGGACTGTTCATCTGAAATATATCTGAACTGTAGTACCCATAAATCATGTAATGCTCTATCAGTAAACTGTACACAGCACCAGGCCGACCTTACATCACTTCTCACCCAAGGTGACTAATGTACTAGAGAAAGAGAAAAATCTCCTGTAGTTGAATAAAACTGTGGGTTGAACGTTCGTTTCAAATAGAGGGTTTTATCACTTGGCAAAATTAAAAAAACAGTAGAGGCTGAGTTTAATTGATTCAAGGTAAATAAAGACTCTGTCTCTCTGTCTTGACCTAGCTAGTGTGTTATTCTTAGCTAGCTAGCTAAGTTAGCTAAATTCTTAGTGTAGTTATAATTACATTGAAGGCCAACTACAAAAAAAAATTCCTTAACCAGAGGTTTCTCCTACTTCACATCTCTGTTAATTTTCAACACTGGGTTCATAGTTAATGCAGCTTCCACCATGAATTTGTTAGCAGGTTGCTTTGCAGGTTAGTTAACCTAATTGACTCCTAGTCGGCAGTACAGTAGCTGGTCCACACTGTTCCAACCATTAACTCTTATGTTTTTAGCATTTTCTCACAATCAACAGGCCTTTGACTAAACATTTGTTGTGATTACATGAGGAAAATTGGTGAATATGGACAGAAATACAATTGTACCCGAGGTGTTAACTAACTTAGCCAACTGGCAAAATATGCTCGCAGCTAGTTAGCAAGCAAAGCCTGGCCTCTGCTAATACTGCATGATATTCCCACTCTAAAAAAAAGAATGAGATCTGAGAAACATGTTTAATTTGTGTTTAATTTTTATTTATACTAAAGTATGGATGGGATCTTTTTCTCTGTTGCTGCCCCACTTTCTTATTTAGGCTGAAAAGATTTTATTTATTATTTATTTATTTATTTATTTCTATTTTATGATGCACTTTAAAGTCGCTTCCTCTCTGACGAATGACAAAAATTTGTAATTTATTCAAAGTGCTGTGACTGGCATTGTAAGCTTCCTTCTCCATCACCACACAAAAAACTGACATTTTCTTTGTTTTTTGAGGCAGGCAGAGGTGGTAACCTGCTACGGTTTTATTGTCACCCTCACAACACAAAAGCATGTCTTCTTGTATCCACTGGTAACTCTGGAAATGTTCTATGACATACCTCAAGTAGGGAGTTTATTTGAATTATATGAGATGAATTAGATAGCTTTTTCACTGTACGTTGACAAATGAGCACATTACATGCCTTGGCAGAAATATACAGAAGTACTACACTAGCTTAGAGCTTTCTAATGTCTTTTCAAAATCTTTGTGTGTGACTGTTGCAGCCCTCTACTAATGAAAATACCATTGCTTATTCATACACACAATGCAGTCATAACCAGCAAACCACAGACATATGTGCCAACGTTATTATTTGCAAATGATTTTGAAGTCATATACGGAGACCTTCCTGTAACTCTTTGCATTGGGTAGATCGCTGAAATGCAGAGAATTACTTATTAATTAGTGGATACCATTGATTGTTAAGGTTCACTATTTTCAGATGTTGGCATTTGCAAATGTAGTCACTCAAGTAAAGTCAGGAATTATGCGATTCATAAATAGATGCTAGAAATCACTTTTAGACAATTTTGATTCCAAAATTGTTATTTTCTGCCAAGCAAATTAGCAAAAAAAAAAAAAAATCCTAATTAAAACAGAATACACACAAACATGTTTTATGGTTCCACAGACTTCAGCCTGGATTTGTGAGCAAGAAATAAGATGTTAAATGTCACATTTTTGGCCTGTTTCCAAGTTGAACACGAGCCCAAACCTTTAAGTTTTAAGGCATTACCCTTCTTGGTGATGAATCTGTCCCAAAGTCATTGGAATATTGTGTGAATTCTCTTTTATTGTAGATTTTTTTTTTGCCTCAAATACACCATATCTTTTTACCGCTGTGTTTTCCTACACACTTGAACTCACATTTCCATTCAGTTTTTCATCCCTCCCCAGCACGTCCTCAGATAAACTACGGGAATTATGGGAAATCTCCGTATCTGACCCAGTCCTTCCCCGAAGAACACTGATTAATGTGCACATGTTTTTTCGTGTGTTTTCTGTGTGTTTAAGTGAGTCTGTGTCTCTGATATTTATCTGTTCGTGTATGTGTTTGGCACCTGGGCACATTATTTGGTTGAATGGTGGCAGAGGTCGGTTGTTATTGTGCGTCTGATGATGTGTGACATGCGTACTATGTTGACTTTTTGTTTTTGCATCAGACTTAGGAGCTCTTCACCTGGCAAGCTAGTCATCTTAAATCTTCCAGGGGTTTCCTTTTCATTTTTAATTGTAAATACTTTTTAAACTTACACACACAGCAGGTTTTTATTTCAAATGTGGAGATGAGGAAGAGTTCACAGTTTGCTCTAGATATCAAAACTGATTGGAGATTGGAGGAGATGGGTAAGAACCTGTGTGTGCAATTCTCTACCTAACATACACCTAACATTTCAGTACTCCACCAAGTGTTCTGTGTTCCTGTCTCCAGTACCGCAGTTTTCATTAGCATAAAAAACACTCATACCCAGCTGTAATTTGAATGCATCAAGTAATCAAACACTACAGTCCACAGAGAGTGAAGCAAGTTTGGTAAGTTAAAAAAAAAGGATGTCAGTAAACATTTTTGCCATGTCTTTGTTCAGCTGCTTGATTTCTGAGTTTAATAGACATGTGTAATGGTCTACACATGGATATTAAATGACACTGTTGGTTGTGTTGGAGAGTAATAAAACAAGTGTCAGTGGAGTCATGTTACTGGCATCCTGTAACTGTCTGTACCACAGTAGATAGCTGTTCATAGCACCAGTTAGCAACTGAAAATGTTTTCATTCATTTTGGTTCTGATTGAGAAGAGAAAAGGCCTGCTAATTCACATCAGATTTTGGGGTAACTTTTTTTTTTTTTTTCTTTCTGCTTTTCACTTTTTCTTTAAGTGAAGTGGAAACATCTTCCACTCACAATGGACACACCCATCAGATACAGCTTATCCAGTGATAATTTGATTTTGATTCATTTTCTCTACTGGATGCAGACCAAACTATCTCTCCTCCTTCCTGTCTTTCCCCTCTACAGCTCTTCATTCCATCCATGTTACAGTATCTCATACTTCATATATGTAAGCATTAAAGTGGTATTTGATGGCATACATATTTTTCCAATGTTTGATAAAGAACAAACCTGAGTTAAATTACTGCACATACTTCCAAGATCTTTTTCTGCACTCGTTTTACAGTTTCCGTGAAATAGAGTTTCTGTAATTATGTCTAGACACCACACAGCAAATGTGCCGGGCAAGATAAATCAAGTGCAATTATTTCAAGAGGTTTCTACCCAGGTCTGATGGTAAAACTGTGAATTCAGCTTTCAAAATGCTTCTATATTTTAATCATCTTGCAGTAGCTCTTGGATACATTAAGCACCACTATGAATAGAGTCCTCATAGTTGTCTATTGGCACAATAACCCAATTGTTTTCTCTTCCCACTGCTCCTACACAGACGTCAGTGAACAAGACTGGGAGTGAAGGCTTGCAAACAGACCTTGATATATACTAATAAGGAAACTAGTATTTGCATTGCTGTTATTCTGCGCCAATGTAGGTAAGAAAAGATTGGCAAAACCAAACTTTGACCTAATCACTCATCAAAAGCTCCAACCCAGGACTGTACACCCATGCAGCAGCTCATTGCTACAGTGGGTTTGGGTTAGACTTTTTGGTTGGTGAATTTGACAGAGGTTTGGATTTCATGCCAGGCAATAAAGATGCACTTTTATCTTGCTTTTTAAATTTGGCGCTGAGCTCTATGTGGCTTGACTTTTTTTTGCATGTTCTTAGTCACAAGCTGATGCTACAGTACGTGCTGTTAAGATGTTCTTAAAGCCATAAACGGAGAGTTCTTCTTCGTCTTTAATCCAAGATATTTCCTCGAGCACGCACATTTACATAGAAACATAGTCGTTATTGAACATAATTTGTACTCATTGGCAAAGAATGACTCACTTGACTTCCTGACTTTTCCTGACATCTGTCACCCGACAAACACCCCTTGCTTTTCATCCCAAGAGGATCAGGATCCTTTGACCTCAAGAATTTTAATTCCTCCTTCATCCCTTCTTTCCCTGTGTCCCCTTTCCTGTACTGCCATTTTTATCGGTGTACGTCATGCATCAACTTCGTAACTCATTTGGCTCTCTCTCTCCTCTCTCTGTCTCTCTTCCTGTGTGGTTCTTCCAATCCCTTATCACTTGTCTTTTATTTTCTAATTCCTCCTTACTTTGCTTCTGCCATTGCCTTTACATGTTCTCATTCCAACCGGTTCTTTCTATTTTTCAATGTTGAGACACAATCACACCCCTTTCTGGTAAATCTTGTCCTCTCTTGTCCATCTTTATCTCACTGTTTTTACTTCCTGTCACACTCTTACACCTCCTCAACATGTGATTTTTTCCCCCTCTACATGTCACATTATGTGCCTTGATTGGACATCTCCTTTACAACTCCTCACATCCCTCCCATCGTTCATTGAATGGCCTCTCTTCTACGACCATCTCTCCCTGCTCCCACTCCTCTTTCCCCTCCCTTCTCTCTCTATCTCGCTAGGAGGACCAGCTTTCCTCCCTGGGTTCTGCAGACCCCGGTGTGAAAACTGAAGGTGGAGGGGGAGGTGGAGGAGGAGGACAAGGAGGAGGAGGAGCAGTAACCAACGATCAAGGCCTCAGAGTCTCTTCCTCAGGCATTTCCTCTGACAGCTCACCCCACAATGGAGTCCTCCCTCAAACCATAGACCCTCCCTCTCTACCCACTCCTCATCAACATCCTAGTCAGAATGGAGAGCTCCGTGGCAACCAAACATCCTCCCCCATGACAACGTCACAGGCTGGAACCACGGCAACAGCAACTACAGGCATAGCAGAAGAAGGGGGAGTAGGTCAAACACAACACTGAGCCAAATCAGAGAGAGATGACACAAAAGGAAAGGAAAACACCGTCCGCGTCTTTTCTTATATAGCAAGACAATGTTTTGAAAAGACATCACCATTGATATTCTTATTCCCCGGGCAAGAGAGAGAAGAAAAGTGTGCAGGAGACGAGTAGTAATCACACAGCTACTGTACAGTGCATAACACATGAACACACAACACAAAGGGCTCTTCAATGGACACTTGTTCTCTTGATGCTCACACGGAGCTTCAGTTCGTATCAGTCTTGCAGGACAAGATAATGATACCTTACCACATACTGTTTGAATCAGTCAAACAAAGCATTTGACGAACATACCAAGCCAATATGTGAACATCTGCTCTGTGCACTCATTGCCTGTCTGCGGCTTCACGAGAAATAAATACATGTGAGGAACAAGCACTATAGAATGTCTTGCACCCCAAAGACTTCATAGTAGCCATCAGCAAAGAAGTGCTATAAGATAGCTTATAGTAACTCTTGACTCCCATGGATGTAGGTGCATTAAATATGCCTATCCCCAACACGCCAGGCTGCAAATGTGGTAGGTCGAGATGTGGAGATGTAGTCTGGCTGTCTTAGTGCCTTTGAGTGTTTTACAACAGGGTTTTCCAATAGAGATAACAGGTGGAGGTCCATGTTAGCTTTGCTAGTAAGGGAACTGATCTGTGGGCTGAAAACAGATTCAAAGACACAAGATCAAGCATCGTAGAGGTCTGAGTGACGGAGGACGTTTTTGGGAACTTTTTTTTTTTTTTTTTTTTCAATCTAAGGGACTTCTTGTTTTTGGACTGAGCTCGTGCAATTTTTCTCTTCTCAATCTCAGAACCGATATGTGATAAACTGGTGCTAAACAGAAACAAATGGTGCCATTTTCCAAGTCAAATGTCTGTGTCTGCCATAGCACTGCCTCTTTCATGATTCACTCACTGTCTTTTCTCTCTCTCTCTCTCTCTCTCTCTCTCTCTCTTCTGCGATTTGTCTTTGACAGGACTTTACCCCCCCCCCTCAATATGTTTTGTATCTGTCTCTGTCTTTGTTCTTTGTGCATCCTGTCGTGTTTTTATGTCTAATGGGGGTGTTGGGGTTTCCATGTCTGTGTTTTTGAAGCGCCCTCCTCCAATCTCTGGTTTTATTTACAGTTAATAAAAGCAGCTCTCCAGCTCAAAATTGAAGGATCAGCAATTTAACATATTTTACACGGGTTATTTCAGATTTGTGGAGACCAAGAACTTAAGTGCTATTTTCAGAAAACACTATTCATTTTACGATTGGATGAAAATACTTTGACTGCAATGGATGAATGGAGTTTATTCCAAGTTCTCAAGTTTTGTTTCCTTCTTTTAAAAAGTGTCCGCCCATTGTGTTCAGATAGAGAAGATCAGTAGTGCCATGATTAGTACTTTTCATTCATTTTCAGTAACATTTTCTCTTACAACTTTCACCAGAACTAATGTTATTAATACAAATGCTAATCACATATTAATAATCGTCCCCTTATGTTTTTAGTTTTGGGAATGTACTACATTTTACCATATTCTATTACAGTGAACATTGCCAGGATCATTTTGTTAATTCTCAAATGTCAGTCATCGCTAAGCTTGCCATTAAGTGCCTGGGATAAATATATTGAGCATCCTTCGGCCAGTAGACTAGCTAGTCATCAACCAAATGCACCTTAAAAGCCTTGCTTATGACACTGAGGATATATTATACCCCTGATGCTTAAACAATTTGAATACTTTCATACTTTTTTGTGTAATTTACATAATTTGAAGTTGCATCTATTTCTGAAAATGTTTGAAAAAAAGGCATCAAACCAAAATTTACAGTACATTTAGAGTAAACCATTTCATTTACAGTAAAATTTTAAAAATGATGATTTGATGTATTTTTTAAATTAAACAAACCTCTTCAGTTTCTCATGTGTCAAATACTGAAAACACGAGTCTTTGAAATGTTTGTAACGTGTATCCATAATCCTTCATTTTGTGTATGAACCGTCTGTTGTAAGGTTTGTCTGGATGTGAATCTGTTTTTGTCTCTGTAGCCTCACACACTGGTGTCGCTCTGCAACAACTCAGCTTGTTTAAACGTGAAAGTTGAACCAAGACGAGTTGAAGAGTTTCACTTCAGCTTTGTGTCAGCCATTTTTCTCTAAAGTACTTATTTTGCAGTGTCAAAGGTCAAAATGGCCAATGCTAGTACTTTCACAAACCAGTGCTAGTAGATTAGTTTAGATTAGATTCATATTTACAGTGAATGTTTAACTGTTGAACCACCAAATGTTAATAATGCTAGCAGTCTTATGCAGGAAAAGATTGTCTTCTATCTAGACAGCTTGTAGGGCTACTTTTCTCTTGTGAAATGACTTGTGTGTGATGAATGTTGGATTCAGGGCGGGCTAGGTTTGAACATCAGTGTCTTTTCAGAGATGTGAGATAATCCGTGATTGAGAAATTAACATTGCTGTGAAAATACCTCAGTGACTCAGGTAAACAAGCAGTTGCCTCAGAGCTGAACACAAAAACTATAGAACAGAGATGAGTCCAGCTTTGGAAAGACTGCCACCATGCAGATACTCGGTCAATAGCTATGCTTCAATAGCACCTGATCAAGCACCCTCCCCCGTTTCTTCTCTCTCTCTGTTTCCCTTTTTTTCTCCCCCTAGCCACTCTCAAAGCTTCATGGAGGACAATGTGGAACCTAATTGGCTGATGCACCATCGGCAGTCCACAGGGTGGCATGGCCAAATGTCCAGAGCCCTCTCTCGTGACGCGATTGGCTGACAAAGGGAGAACTTGGGGCATTGGTCCCATTCTCTTTGCTCAAAGGATGGTGCAGAGCCCCAGCGGACCATGTAAGGAAATGCTGGGTTTTTTTTTTTTGGTTTTTTTTTTTACTTTACTTGGGCCCTCTCTCTCTGATTTGATAAAAGGATCTTTTTAAAGTGTGTTTGACGCCTCGTGATTGGATCTACATTTTACTTTTAAAAAGGTAGGCTGGACATATATTAGCATTTGGTGGCCTGCCAAGCATGCAAAGAACAGCTATGCAGTCTGATCAATCAGCAGAACAGAGGAACACAAAGGCCAAGGAAGCTGTGATGCTCAAAATGAGAGAGAGGGGAGATGTATTGTGGGGTAAGATGTATTTCAAAGGTGCTTGACTTCTCTTAAAATTTCAGTCAAAGCTGATTTACTTTCAAAGCATTTATTTCGCTCTCTCTCTCTCTCTCTTTCTCTCTTTCTCTCTCTCGTAGTCTTTTCAAATTACCCTTTGATTCCTCTTCATCTATTCACTCTTTGTCTATCTAGGATTCTCAAAGCATTATTTAACCGCTTCCTTCTTACTCCATTTTAAAACACACTTGATCTGTTTCTCGATTCATAGTTTTAGCTCTTCCGTTTGAATCTCTTTCAGACTTTGATTTTAAAGGAAACTAAATATGCACAGCCTAATACAACAAGTGAAACTGCTTCAGAACAAAACTCTTGCTTCAATGAAGACTTTGAAAAACCGGACAGAATGTTATTATTTATATTTCTATGATACTGCTTATTCTTACAATAGTGTTAGAAAAAACTCTTCATCAGAAATCTTCCGGAGCAGATATTTATTTCTTGATATAGATAGATGCCTCTATCTAATGGAAGTTCATAAATAATCCATTTTATATGAACCAAGTTTTCTTACTAAGACAATCTTGTGGAGAGAATCGTTGCCCTAAAGGACTGTGACGAAAGGGACAAACTTGTGTTTTACCTACTCCCCATACAACAGTTTGCACGTTGCTGTGACCTGTGCCCTCCTTCCTCTTGGTTATAATCATTCAAAAACAAAAACAAAACAAAAAAAAAAAAAAGAAAGAAAAAGCGGACGGATGTTTTCCCGCCCAAAAATCGCCATGGAGCTCTCCATTTTACGGACGATGCGAAAGCCGTTGGATAAGGACATTCTTACAGCTATTTTGTGCTCCACTTCGACTATCTGTCTGTAGAGGTTTAAAGCAAGCAGCGGATGAACTCTTGGTTTCAGTGTGGCCACATTTCTGCAGTCAAATTGCTGTAAAACTCCCCATTTATTTCTATCGATGGACTCCACTGACACCAATCTGAGTTGAAATCCCTGCCATTCCCACTTGCGACTGAAACGAGGACAGAGAGAGATATGTTAGAGGTCCTGCTGAAACGAGTGAATGTGTTTGTATATAAGTGTGTGTACTGGCTAAATCTTTGTGTATATACTGGATAAATGTGTATATATGGTATGTCTATGTGTATATACAGTTTGTTTGTATATGCAGAGTGTACAGTTATTTTTTCCTCTAATGTTTCTCTCTCTTTCTATGAATAGGTCTTCTCAAGTTACCAATACTGAGGCATGGAAAGGTTTTTAAATGTACTGACAGCTATCAGAGGCACTTTCTGTGCAGACTTAGAATATCAGCAAGGTCTGTCACTTCTAGCTGCATTCTTGAAGCTCTCATACAAGAAGTAACTCACATAATCTTAAAGCTTGCACTCATTTTCTGACCAACTAAAAAGCTTTTCTAAGTAGATTTGGGTGACCAAGCAATGTTTGTACATATATAGACTTAACACAATTTTTTCCAGAAACCTCCATCTGCATTTCTTTGAAAATTCTCGACCTGTTTTTGAGTTATTGCGTATCTGACTTTCACTTTAGGTTCCTATGGTATATGTTTGCAACGGTTGTCATTCAGAGTTATATATTTATTCCGACAACCCTTATATATTTCTTGAAATTTTGTTCCCCAAATTCTGCCTCTCATGGAGCCGTCTAGCCTTTTATTAAGATGCGGTTAGACTGGCGAATCCTTCCATGAAAGTATACTGTCATTACTTAACATTGCTTGTTTTTGTATAGGTCCTTACTAAATAAGTGTGCCTCCCCCCCTTATACTCTTACTAACCTTAGATCCATTAACTGCGCTGGTCACTCATATTCATACCCCTTGACAAGCCATAGCCCCCCCTCCCCCAGAACTCCTCTATTGTTGTTTTGACAGGACAGACATTTGGGGATTTTGTGTATATTAATGGAAGAGTGGTGTTGAAGAGTGTATTGCAGTTGTATATGGATTTGTTATGAATGTGGATATTCTGATCATTGAATTATTATTGTAATAATGATAATAATTATTGCCACTTTGATTTTGTTGATTAATTCCTTTGATGCGGTTGATGAAGATGCCATTGTTCCTTCTTTTTTTTTTTTTTTTTGGAATACACCGGAATTTATATTTTTCGGGTGGGTGAATCTGGAGATAGAAATACGTAAATAAATTAATAAATAAACAAATAATTAAATTCTTACCTCGGTGTGGGAATGTGTGTTCTGTTTCAGGCAGCTCTCAAAGGATCTATCTATCTATTTCAGAATTAAGGGTTAGTTATTTTTCTTATTGTTAGCAAGTCCTGTGAAAACACTGAAACCAACAATTAATTTACTTTATCCCTCTCAGTGTCCGTAAACCATTAAAAACACCAATAACCACTGTAAGTTGGAAAATACTCGCTATAGTGCAACAAATATACATTAAACCACAGAAAAAGAAAACAATTCCCCACAAATACTGTTTACTCCTGTTTGAGTAACATTTGCTAAAAATTTGTCCCCTGTTTTGAGAAATTATTTAGAATTCTTTGAAAATTAAAACATTTATTAGTGACAAATTTTTAAAGATTTACATCAGTAGGAACCAAGAGTCTTGGGGCTGAGAGGCTGGGAAATCAGACAGTATTGAGAGGCAGACTAACTCCCTGTTGGTTTGTGCCTTTTTATGGGATTTGTTGGCAACAACAAAAATATAGAATATTGCTAGCCTTGCCCATTTTTACATTCGTTGCTTCCCCTCATCCCCTGGTCCCATCGGGGAACATAACAGAGACCTAGCTTACTTTTTTCTGTCTGGAAGTAACGTTTGGTCATTTCCTCCAAAGAAACTTTCAAATCTGCATAAATTAACAGTTATTTTGATCATCGATTAATTTGGCAGTTATTTTCCAGGTTAACTGATTAATTATTTGGTCCATAAAATGTCAGAAAATAGTGGGAGCCTAAAATGACATCTTTAAAATGCTCGTTTTGTCCGATCAACAGCCCGAAACCCAAAAATGTTTCTTATACGATCATACAAAGTAGAGAGAAACCAAAAATCCTCACACTTGACAAGCTGGGATCTGCAAATGTCTGATCTATCATCAAAAATTCTTGTCAACTAACCGATTAATATACTAATTGTTTCAGCATTACACTACATGTATAGGCTCACAGCATGCATCATGTATTATATAAGAAATCAAACCATCTATTAAGACAAGAATTCTGAACTTTATATCTGAATTCCTACTGAAAAGATCTGCTTTGATGGTTGTACCTTTCTGCCAATGTTTTTATTTATTTATTTATTTTTATCATTTTCTAGATCTACAAGCTCATTCACTCCATTTTTGTAGATCACAGGTAAGTGTGTGTGTGTGTGCCTTGTGGTTGCATCACAGTGCTTGCTGATCTGGGTCATCCAAATTTTTTTCTGCATGTCAGGACTGTGATTCTTCCGTTGGTGAGCAGAGCAGACCATTTCTTCTCACTCTCACCAGCTGATGTGCTGAGAGTGAGGATGGCAGGGAGGATCTGGGAGCTGGGGACTCGACTGAATATAGCAAGCTTGTAATTATCCTCATCCTCCTACACTTAATCGCCTGCAGTTCCTCAGTGGGTTGGCAACTTCTGAGTTTGGACAGAGCAGGAAAAAAATGAGCACAATGGAAGAGCAATGGTTCATGCTGTGTAAACAGAACAAACAGAGCTGAGCTTCCACCTCAACCTGCTCCACACCTGAGCATCAAATATACCCATGTACTTATTCTGTCAGTTTACACTCAATGAAATTATCAATAATGTTTTCATTTGCCATATCAAACTATGTACCCATGTAATAACGTGCCAGAATGTGCATTTTCTAATGTATTTATATCAGAATTACATTACATTTACAATTCCAGGCAAAAACACATCACATATAACCAGAATCTAGTAAAACTGTCCTTTTCTCTCTAACTCACACCCCATAGACTTACAAATTTCATTGATTTCCTACATCATTATTGCTGTCACCCTGTTTCACAGTCAGGAGATGCATAAAAATACATAAAACTATGGAGGCAAACATCCCTCAAAATGCCATTTCTGTGTGACTTCAATGTTGCAGTTATAGGGGTATTAAATAATCTCTGATATTTATAGACCTCTATTGGCAAACACAAGAATTACAACAACAGAATTTAAAGTGGCCATGGCCATTGTTCAATTAGGGCACAGTGACAGTGACCTTGCTATTAGTAAGGATAGTAAGGATCACTTTAATGATGCAGCTGGTGGTGCTATTTTAACTGCTTTATATACAGCTGGGTAGCTTAATCTATAATATTACATCATAATTTACTTGTTGATTATGTTTTGCATTAATAATGTCAATCTGCAGAGTAACTAGTACCAATTGATTTCAAATGAGTGAGGTGAAAAGTACAAAATGTAGTGGAGTAGAAGTATTGAATAGCATAAAATGTAACTACTCAAGTGAGGTACAAGTAAAAGGTACTTTCAACCACAAATATAATCAGACAAAATAAGAAGAAAAAACAACAACAACAACAACAATAAAACACCTCCCCGTTTGGGTGGCCCAGAGGTGCACAGGAGCTTTAACAGATTTGTTCGCTATAATGTGACTTCTAATAAATCCTTGATTTGATTAATAGCTGGTGGGAGACTAATGACTAAAGGCAAGTTCAAATAACATGTTACTTAGACAAAGTTAGTGTGAAAGATGTTGAGTATTGGCAGGAACGTAATAGGCTATGCTCACTATAAATACATGAGTTTGCGCTTGGAGAAACACCCCCCCCTCAAAATATCAAATGGATGCATCATATTTAGTGCCACTGTCACAAATAACATGAAATAATTACTTGTGCTTTTACATGTATTTCAGTACCTGGTGTTCGTCTGATGCCTATTTTCTTTCAGTTTTTTAAATTTGGGATTAAGTAGGGGTTTAATTCAGATTTTCGAAAATGGGGGATTTGCAGCAGACTACCTGGCAACCCGCGATGTAATCTCGTGAGTGTGTTCTGTAGTCTCGCGATATGCAGGCGGTCACTGCCTGATAGGAATAATGGCCGCCTTCGTAGCAATGGATGGAACGGGGAACTACACAAGAAGCTTATCAGTGCGTTTTAGCTGACCAGGAAGAGCGTAAATTACCGGGCACCCCCTCCTACCCGGGTTCAGAACGGATGGGTAGAGGGGGTCTTGCCAAAGGACACAAGAAACGAAAAAGACTCGGAGAGAAGGGGAGGAAAGCTAACGCTACCTTGATAGCTAGCGCTAGCTGGCTATCAACACGGTTGTCACTGCCGGGGAACAAACCCGAGTAGCCGTGACAACAGTGTGTTGGGAGGGTAGGAGGAAACGGCGGTTAAACGCTGGAGCGTGTGATCAAACAACCGGATAGTCGCTAATATGAGTGGACCGGGGCAGGACAGCGAGCCAGAGGCGAAAGTCCTTCTCATCAAGCGGCTTTACAGGTAAGTTGGCGAGGCCGTTTTGCCGAGCTAACCAATGTGCTAATTGAACGTTATTGTGCTAGCCAACTTAGCGCTTTATGAGAAATACTGCAATTATTCTTCCATTCAATAATCTGCCAGGACAATGATGACTAAACCTTACACACTTCCAAACCTAGCAGTGTGACTTAGGTAAATTTGCTGCATTTACTGCATTTGCCACTGCTGTCTTTGTTATAGAGAAATGAAACGGAAAGGATTTTGGGTGTTAGCGCCTGACATCCCTTTATCGACCAGTAAATATTTAGCCTTGTCATTATGCTAATGCTCTTATTTCCCAATGCCACCCAGGGCTGTGGTGGAGTCCGTGCACAAGCTGGATGTCATCATCGGCAGCAAAGCATCCTACAGGGAGGTCTTCAAGCCGGAGAACATCAGCCTTCGCAACAAGTATGTCAAGCAGTCTCAGCAGTGTGTGTGAAAGGAGGCAATCGTGTAATTTGCACCGTCTATGTCTTTTCAGTTGTTGTGAACATCTGTAACAATTTAACCTCAAATACCAGCTGAGTGGGGTTAACCTCCAGTTCACTTAGCTAATATGACTGACTCTTTCTCATGCTGTCTTTTCAGATAAGTTAGTCTGTAACCTACAGCATTTCCTTATCCTTATATATTATAGGCCCTTTGCATACTGTTGCAAACTTTGTATTCTGTATCGATCATGTATCCAGTTTTAATCCAGCCCCAGTTTGTGCCCTTCATGCATTCGAGTCACTGAGGTAATAATTGGTTTCTTTAAGAATATCATTAACTGGTGATGCTGAAAAAACCCAGACAGTCATTTAAAAATACTAACAGATTTTTGTGATTTAAATTTTCGAATCCTCAAACGCTTTTCTAATCAACTAGTTGAAAGTTTTCAAAGCTGTTTTCCAGTACTTGATTTGAAAACAGAGGTGTAACTTTAGAAGTTTAGCAGTTAAAATCTTGTTTATTCAGTGGATGCAATATTTGTTTCACCCAGATGAGTAGAGGAGTCTTCAGGGATTCTATACCATTCAGAACAACTCTAACCGTTCTTAAACATCGTTCTAGGTTTTTCAACCATCACTGGTTCATTATTTTTTAGAGAAACTGATGGTTATGGCTGATGGCTCCGTGATTCAAATGTATGCTAATACATACTAATGCCAACACGAGGGGCACAAACTGGGAATAGTTCACATCCGGCTTGAGAATCATTGTTAAATATATCCATATGACCATTTGTGCTTCAAAATCTTAATGTGATTTCATCTGTGAGAAACTGGTCTCTGCAAGGCTGTACAAAAAAAAACATAATACTCCTTTAACCATAGTCATACAGCTGAAGAACAGGATTGTGGTGTCAATTTGCATACTTGATACAACAAACAAAAAGCTTGAAAAATGAAAGAGGAACTTGGAAGTACATGTGAGAAAGAGATGATGTGTGCCTACACAGTCAGACAGACAGGAGATGGTATCTCACCCTGTTCAGTGACTGGATTTGGAGTGATCACATACCATTGCACATCATCTGGGATGATTTTAAACCTGTATTTACGGGTATCTACTGGTAAACAGATCCCCCAGCACATAGTTTAATGTGAGATCTTTAGTCACACACTTAATTTGTTGCCACCTCAGTACAAGGTGAGGCTGATATTATTGTTGATTATTAGAGGAAGAACCAAGCACAGAAGAAGAGATAAAGAGAAGTGCTGCATGTACTTGCCTAGCTGTATTAACATAATCTTGTAATTGGCTGCACACATGAAGTGGGGACTGAGATTTCATTCTGGCAAACAACTCTGACTTATGAATCAGTTCACACAGACCATGTGAGTCATAGTAAAGAAAGAAAAGCTTTTTAGCAATACAACAAATATTTCCTTTTGTCCATGGTACCAGAATTATCAGTTGTCATTGATGTAGTGTCTATAAAGCAGAGCTGCAACTGATGATTATTTTATTGTTCATTAATCTGCTTTGTCTTTGAAATGTCAAACAATTGTGGAAAAAAATCTTGTTTCTCACCAATGGTCCTAAACCTGAATATACACTTGTTTGCCAGCTTTTTAGGAACGCCTAGTTAAAACTAATAGTCTAATACAACAGTCCTGCAATAAATCCTACCTTCATGAAGGTTATAATCGTTTTGATGTTTTGTACTGTTCTGCATTATACAGAGAGATGGTTCTGTTACTTAGCCTACCCTCAGTGATGTAAATGAGGTGGACAAAATAATAGAAGCATCTGTCAGTGTAACACAAAACAGTGCAACAGCACCGCAAACTACACGCGCCACAATGACCACACAGTTGAGTCAACACTTCTCTAAGACAGTTACAAAAAAAAAAAAACAGAACACATGTGATCTTTATGAAGGCAGAACTTATTGCAGGGCTTGTTTATTAAATTGCATTAGTTTTAGCTAGGTGTACCTAATAAACTGGCACATGTTTGGTCCACTGTCATATACAGTATGGCACAAAGAAGCAGCCAATCATCACACATGAGAAACTGGAACAAGCAAAGATTGGTAATGATCCATGAAAAATGATTAACTGATAATGAAAATAGTTGCCAAATAATTTTCTGTTGATTGGCTGATTAATTAACTGACTACCAGTTCCAACTCTACTGTACAGGCAGCTACATATGTCAAAGCTGGAATGGCTATGTGCTATAACTTCTGTTCCTGCGTAGCTCCACCTGCTCATGTAAAACTAGGTTGGCTCATTGGTCCACTTGTGGTGACCCAACTACCTCCCTCACTTATGCATTCGTGCATCTGTTTTTCTTTCTGTGTTTTTTCAGGCTGAGGGAGCTTTGTGTGAAACTGATGTTTCTCCACCCTGTCGACTATGGCCGTAAGGCTGAGGAGTTGCTCTGGAGGAAGGTATACTATGAGGTCATCCAGGTTATCAAGACCAACAAGAAGGTAACTGTCCCCGCAGCTGTGGAAAATGACTCTCTGCATGTGTTAGCAAACCACTTTTTCACTTGTTAAGCTTGCTTGTCACCCTGGCTTCTGCTTAAAGGTCAACTCTTAACAATGACATCTGCTGTTTTGTGGTCACTAGCCCGTAAAATACCAACAGAGTACCAAGAGTGTGTACATGTTATGCATGGTTTGTCCGAGTGGAAATCAAACGTCCAAAAAATTACACCTTTGGCACTTAGCTCCGCTACTGGAGCGACACAGTAAAACCATTATTACCATTATCAAAGTAGACGGGTTATTTCTCAGCTGATTTGTTGTTATAAAAATGTTCACAGCTTGTGTCAGATAGATGATATAATATACTAAGATGCATGTGTAGTGTGAAAGGAATCACTTCTGGTGATGAACTTACAGGGAATCACTACCTGAATCTGGAGCTTCCCTCGCCTCAAAGGTGCTTTACCGCAGCCCACACCTTTACTGTTTTGGTTCACACTCAATAGTCATAGCTGTGTTTTCAGAAAAAACACATTTCATGAAAAGCAGAGCTAAAGGAGAGCGAATATTGGACTTACATTCATCAGGTAGCCGCAACGTGATTCCAAATGAATGGCAATGTTACTTATAAAGTGCTGGATGTGTAAGTAATCATCTGTTTGCCAACCAATTTGCCATATCAACTTAAAAGCTGATGATATGTCAATGTTGTATTTTTCACTTTAATTTGTTTTCACTTAGTTTAGACATTTGCTGCATTGTTGTTGTCGTCTTAATCAAGTGTTTAATTTAAGAAGTCTCTTCTTAAAACACAAATTTGCCAGTTTGGTATTTTATCTAGTGGTTGTGTTTTTGAACCAGGTTTCATCTGCATTAAATGTTTCTGAATAAATTTTTTTTAATGTATGTAAAGTGTATTTTAGTTTTCCAAGCTTTTGTGCCTTTTTGATGCACATTGTAAACTACAAAAGTCTGTTTATTATTACTTCTGATGTCTCGGTTTTTCTCTTTTCTGTCTCTTTCCTCCACTGTAGCACATCCATAGTCGTAGCGCTTTGGAGTGTGCCTACCGTACACACCTGATCGCCGGGGTTGGTTTCTACCAGCACCTACTGCTCTACATCCAGTCACATTACCAGCTGGAGCTGCAGGACTGCATCGACTGGACCCACGTCACAGACCCGCTGATCGGTCAGACTCAAATTCATGCACGGACACTGATATAGAACATTCAGACACGCAAGCAGCATCTAAACTCTTACGTAATGAATGTGAGACGGATTTGTAACATTCACAGATATGAAACAGGCTGTCTGCTTTCCATATATTTAAAAAAGCCTTTGTCACTGATGACTTTTGACCTGTCACACCAGAGAAATGAATGATGCTGAATCCAATTTTGCTGCTTCAGTATTGTGCATGCTTCACTAATGTGGCGTATTCAAACATCAAAATAGACTAAAATCATTGTTAGATGTTATTGGTAAGATATTTTAATATTCTAATGCACAGACTCGTAGCTTTTTCTTTTACAAATTTTCGCACCATCTCGGTTTTGTGAATTGCTTTACAAATCTTAATTTAACATGGTGTTGTGAGTGTTTTAAAACATGTGGGTTTAACATTTAAACTGCACAGACTCTCTTAAACGTCCACTGGGTTAAAGTTTGACATGAATTACAGCCGGTTGTAAAATGCACTCTGTGTTTAGACTCAACTCTCAGTGTTGTCACACCGTGGCGTTCACACAAGGTGTTTGTGTGTCCATTGTTTGAATTCAGTATCAGATGTCAGTGTTCCCCCTGCACTATGCAAAGTGGACAAAAAGGTGGAGAAGTGCCGAGCCAGTCTCTTGTCAGCAAGGACAAACAGGCAGGTGTAGGCTCACAGTGGATATCTGGGTTTATAGAAATACCAAGGGCTAAATGAGGTCTGTAATCCTGTCTTCCAGCCCAAAGTATAATTTAATCTTATCATTTTAGGGACAGAGAAGGAATATCAAATCATTTCTGGATTCTGTCTCTAGCATTCGGGCTCTTCTCTGATACAAAACTGTTTGCTTTACTTGTTCTGTTATTGCATAACTCCAAGTCGCTCTGGGTAAGTGCATCAACTAAATGCTTGAAATGGAAAAATAAAGTGTTGTGTAATTGTTCCCCGCAGGCCGAAAGAAACCTGTGTCAGCCACCCCTAAGGAGATGGAGTGGGCACAGATGGCCTGTCATCGCTGTCTGGTCTACCTTGGAGATCTAGGTAATAACACGATAATAGAATATGCAATTAATTAATCTCTTTAGCCAGCTTGTAGAGGTGTGAGACGGCATGTGTGTGTGATTCAGCGTGGGAAAATTTGGCTTAGCTATAGAGTATAATTGGCATGGGGCTGTATGGTTGGTTTAGACTTAGGTTATACAGAGATATTGGTATTTTGATTATACATTATTTAACTGAACATTGTAGAAGATTATGGAGTGTGTGTGTGTGTGTGTGTGTGTGTGTGTGTTTGTGTGTGTGTGTGTGTGGTGTGTTGTGTGTGTGTGTGGTGTGTGGTTGTGCAGAGAACGTTTTCAGAAATAATAAGCCTTTTCTGTTATGATCATGCAGTCATATAGATTTCAAAACCAAAAGCAATTATTCTTGTTAATAATTGTTTTTCATATTTTATTGTTATACTTATTTTTTTAATGTCCTTTCCTCTGCAGCCCGTTACCAGAACGAGCTTGCTGGAGTGGAGGCTGAGCAGCTGGCAGAGAGGTTTTACCATCAGGCCCTGTCTGTCATGCCGCATGTGGGTGAGTGACTGTCATGTAAAATTCTTAACACAGCACTTTGCTGTTCCCATTGTTGAGGAGAACCTGGTAAAGTTTGTGTTTTCTGGGCTGGGAGAGTGAAAGGAATATTTAGTTTCTAAAAAGCTGTGGAAATAATTTTATTCAGATGTGATTCTTTACATAATAATAATGACAAAAATGTTAAATTCAATGGTTCAATAGAAAAGGAAAGTAATTAAGGAGGACACTGATCAATATTGAATCTATTTACAATGTTATTGTGGAAGAACATCATGTTTAAATTCCAAATACATTGTGTTCAGAGCTACGTATTCGCTGCCTTGCAGAGAGTTAGATGAGCAGATCTCTTGAGTCACTCTTATCTCTGTACAGTAAATATGAACCTACAGACAGCAGCTACTTAGCTTAGCTTAGCATAAAGACTGGAAACAGTAGGAAACAGTTAGCCTGGCTCTCTCTTGAGGTAACAAAATAAGCCTACTAGCAGAGGTGCTGGGCACCTTCCAAAATGTTCAACTATTCCTTGATGATATACACAGCTGATTTAATGTCCCATAGTTATACTGAGCTAACTGGATCACTGTTAATGTTCACTGACCTTATCTGCATTTGTAGCCTTTGTGAGTTTACTGCTTTATTTGTGGACTCAAATGAAAAATATTGTCTGATGTAGTTGTTACTTCTTGCTTCTCCGTTACTGAAGTAACATAAGAGGGCATCAAAATATTAGATATGATTATTATGATTAAGGTCATACACTTCTAACTTCTGCTAAATCAGAACAGATACTGTCATAAAAAGGAGCATTACTGCTGTGCTACTGAAGTTGTTTGTGGTCTTGGCTTTTATCACAGTATGTTCTCAGTTCACGTCAGGCAACTCTAAAAATAAATGTTAACTTGTTTACCCATTTCCTCACCCACCTGTCTGCAGGAATGCCTTTTAACCAACTTGGCACACTGGCAGGGAGCAAGTTCTACAATGTTGAAGCAACCTACTACTACCTACGCTGGTGAGGAATGTTTATGTGCCATTACAAGTACATTAAAATCCAACCAGATCTGTTACACGTCTTAACAGCTATTTTATCTGCGTGTAGCATCCAATCAGATGCCCCCTTCGAGGGCGCCTATGGCAACCTGAAGCGTCTGTTTGACAAAGCTGCCAAGATGTACCACCAGGTGAAGAAGCAGGAAATGAAGAAGCTATCTCCATCTCGACAAAGGTGAGGAGGATGTGCAGGAGGAGGGCAGCTCTGAAACCGGACAACATTTTTTTTTGATCAGTCCCAATTCATATTATAATATAATATAATATTATATATTATAATTTATTCTTAAAGTGTTAATATTTTGTTATTTTTCCACTTGCCTTTGTTAATTCTTTTCTGTAAATTAAAATGTGCTCACTTGTATTTCGGTTCACAGTAGACTAATTCAGCCCATGTCCGTTTCATATCAATGAAATTTGATTTCCAGACATCCTTAAATCATGAGCCCTTTCTGGACAGCAGTGGTATCACTAATGGTTTTCAGCGGCTCATCAGTCTGAAATAAACAGAATGTTTTGACTTTACTGTACTGACATGCCAGAGTAATTTTAATCCAGTCCCAATTGATATTTGGGGCTTTGCGTAATTACCGACTTGTGTTCTCGCCTTTTGAATCACAAAGGCTCTCTAACCATTGGTGGGATTACACAACATCTCACTGTAGATGGGATTAGATGATTGATGATCCCTGTGGGGAAATTAGTTTGTGTAAGCAACAAATGTAACAGGGTTCAGGAGAAATAAAAGACAAATATACAAATGTAGAATATAAGATAAGCAGGAGACAATGTTTTGGTGCTTCTGGAAGTATAGATGGATTTTTTTTCTCATGTGGCTTTTCCATGATGTGTGTTCAAAAGCTTTCAAAGACACATGAATAGGTTTACTCGTTAAGATGCAATGTGACTAATGTTTGTTTATTTACCATCAGGATTATTTAGATTAACATTGTGCGTGGAACAAATAAGATTAACAAATTCTTTTGCCACCAGGGCAGAAAACAATGCTGTCATTTACATGAACAAAGCCGAACCGAGCCCTGGTGTGTTCATTATGAAAACGTTTTGCACCCCTTAACTGGGTACACCTGTTAAATCTAATGCAATCCAGTACAAGAACTCTGCCATTACATCTGTCTTTACAGGGGTTGTTGTTGTTGACAGTCAGAAATGTGTAAATTCAATGTCAAACAACAAAAATGTTTATTACTGAATCATAGTTTCAGGAGGGATTGTATATTTGACTGAGAGGGGTTTGTTGTTGTTTTTTTTCTCCCTGTTTACATTGACGAGAGTGGCAGAATATTAGAAACGATTCTGAATTTAATGTACAACGCCACCACTAACTATGACCTCGATGCTAAAGCATATCATTTAATTAACAGTGCATTTACCATACAGACGTGAGAGGGATTTCTTTCTTCTCATCTAACTCTCAACAAGAAACCAATTAAGCATATATTTTTCAGAATGTAATTATTCCTTTTTAAATGTTCTCGGAAAATCACTCAGAGGGCAAAGACAAAAAATAGATTTTGGTCAAGAAAAAAAACACTAAATTTGATTGAAATAATTGTCTGTCATCTGTCATTTTCCACCATTTCTCTGCAGATCAAAAGACATTAAGCGTCTCCTGGTGAGCTTCATGTACCTCCAGAGCCTGCTGCAGCCCAAGAACAGGTTAGTGAGCTTGTGCCGTCACTCATCTCCTGACTCGTATCACACGTAACTTTATTTTTAATCCTTAACCATTTTATTGCTATTTTAAGACCAGATAGACTGAATGCAAAATCAAATATTTGAATTTGTAAAGAATGAACAGATCTTAGGTTAAGGAAATCCAGTGAACACAACACAGTGACCCCAGACAAAGAAATGTTCAAACAAACCACTCAAGCTGCCAACAGAATGTACAAGTTGCTCATGAGCAAAACATGAAAGGCAGTCCACTTAAACCACTGCATTGTTATCCTTGGATTATTCATTGTTAAATCGTGTGTACCTTGTATTTTTTCAATGCCTCACTTTTCATTTTCATTGTGGTGTTTCCCCTCCTGTGTCTCTGTGTAGTCTGATGGAGACAGAGCTGACGTCGCTCTGCCAGTCGGTGCTGGAGGACTTCAACCTGGTGCTGTTCTACCTGCCCCCTCCAGCACACGGTGGTTCTCACCACTCCCCCAGCGAGGAAGAGGAGGAGCAGCAGCAGCAGCAGCAGCAGCACACTGACAGCTCCTGCCCCGTGCTGCCCGACACCCTCGTCTTCAAGATGGTGGTTACTTGTCTGATGGTGGTGCACAGCCTGAAGAGGGGAGGTTGGTGTTATTGTGACGTTAAAGCTGTCAAAACTGTGCTTGTTGTGTATTGGAGATCTAAAAAGATTCTTCATGTTTATGTTAATAACTTATTTATAAATTTAAAGTTGAAAACAAAACAGTAGCATTTCTCTTTAAATGTCTTTTCAAAAGCTGTAATTCCATTTCTGTATCATCTTCTTATTTCTTGCTGTACATGATTTATACCAGTCTGGGAAAATGATCATCATCTAGACCTCTGTTGGTATAAAAGAAAAGTTCACATTTCAGACAAAGAATTTTTCTTGCTCAAACAATTATCGGTCTGTTGTGTCTTCAGGATCGAAGCAGTATAGTGCGTCCATAGCTTTTACTCTGGCCCTGTTCTCCCACCTGGTGAACCACGTGAACATCCGGCTGCAGGCTGAACTGGAGGAAGCGGAGAGCCAGGTGCCTCCACTTCACACTGACGCTACAGGTGAGAGAGGGGAAACCCTGTCTCCATGTGTGGAGCAGAAAATTCACACAATTGCAACTACAAGTTAGTTTTGAAAAAAAAATAAAATAAAAATACTCCCAAGTCAGCACGGTACAGGAAATCTCCCAGTGCCTGTGTCTGCTACGTAGATCAATGCGTCAATCCCAATTTGTCCTCATCAGCAACATCTTTTAGGATTAAAGTGGTGCTCTTTGTGGTTTCAAATCTTTTGGGAGAACTACAGCAGCATGTGAAGTTTCTACCTTATTATAATGTATTTACCCACTCATGTCTTGGCTCGGCTGGCTGTCAAGAGTAATTTACATTTGAACACATTTATTTACTCTGTCTGACATGCTCTTTTAGGAATAACCCAGTGGAGAACATCTCATTTGTTATGTGAATTGTCTTGTTAGAAGCAGAAGATTTCAGAGAAACGTCTTTCGCGGTAAACCTGAATGAAAAAAACAACAAAAACTGTGAATGTCTCTTCTCTTGTCTAGATGACCTGGAGATGAGGGATTTGTCAGCTCCACCGACAGTTCAGTGTGACGAGAGGCCTCTGCAGAATGGTTCCCTGGAGCAAGAGGATGATGAGGAGGAAGAGGCAAAGGATGAAGATGGCTGTGAAAGGGTTGGTGCCAAGAAGCACAGCAGCGTGGAAGAACAGCGCAAGTTGGAAGAGGACAAACAGAGGCAGAAGAAGAAGTACACCCGCCTCTCTCGACTCCGCCGACGCCGCTGCGCCCGCAAGGACGGCCGAGGAGAGGACGAAAGCGACCTAAGCGAAGGCTTTGAGAGTGAAGAAGATGAAGATGATGATGAAGAGAAGAGAGGCCGTGCTGATTCAACAGGCGGCACAACGACGGGAATGCCCCTCAATCCTTCCTCTAACAGGAAGGAGACTAAGAGAGACCCCCTGGGTGAGGAGGGCAGCTGGGGGAGTGGCTCAGAGGAAGAGGAGGAGGAAGGAGGAACAGCGTTTGATGTAGAGACCGACTCAGACATGAACAGCCAGGAATCTCGCTCAGATTTGGAAGACATGGAGGACACGGAGAACTCGGACAATTTGGAGGGCCAGGCCCGGGAACACCAGGACGAAGAGGAAGATGAAGAGCAAACCAAGGAAGAAGGAGGCGACAGGGATGGTGATACCCCTCCGACCACCAACGGGCCCCTCATGCCCAGCGACTCCAGCATCAGCAGTAACCTCCAGGCCATGTCCTCACAACTCTTCCAGGCCAAGCGCTGCTTCCGCCTGGCACCGACCTTCAGCAACATGCTGCTGAGGCCTCAAGCCTCATCTTCCTCGGATATCCCCACCCCTACTGACGCTTCTGCTCCCCCCTCCCAAGAGACCCCTCCTCCTCCTGGGGATTCACCCTGTAACATGAACCCTGGTACTGCCAACGGAACCAGTGAACATGGTAATGTGCTTTTTAGATCTAATCAGTATTTTTGTTTGCTTTCCTCCACTTCTCTGTTTTAATGCGTTCATAAAGAGGTTGCAACTTTTTTTTTTTAAATCTATGTTGTATTTTTGATCCATTTTTCTTTCACCTTCTTCTGTAGACTTGGACTCCGACTCAGAAGGTAGCCAGCACAGCACTCAGTCAGTGCATAGTGAAAAAACCCTGTTAGAGAAGCTGGAGATTATGACCAATCAGGGGTTGATCCAAGTGGTGAAGGTTTTTATTGACTGGCTAAGGACCAACACTGACATTATCCTCATGTGTGCACAGGTAAGGGTGCAGCGCCTCCTGCTGATACTATGAAACACTGACATCTGAGGAGTATATTTAGCCAACTGTAATCCACTGCTCTCTCCGCAGAGTTCTCAAAGTCTGTGGAACCGACTGTCTGTGCTGCTCAACCTGCTACCAGATGGCAGCAAAATGCTCGAGGCTGGTGAGTTACTGGTAGACTGCACTGCATGGAGATTTATACTTGTCACAACAGCAGCCAGGGTTTGAGGTTTATCCTAAATCCGTCTTACTTTCTTCAGTGATGTTTGCTCATGTCATTGTTCCAAGTCAGATTCGGCAAACCTTCATAACCACACAAAGCTGTCGTAAATCGCTTGTTCCAACTCAGTGAATTCCCTCTTTTCACGTGGAGGGACATGTTCTCATGTTGGACATTAACAGTCAAAAAACATAACAAATTTAGCAGTGTCAGGACTGGTGTTAGGCTAACTTGAAAAAATGATAAACTATCACTACAGCTGTTCTCGTCACATCGTTGCAGAGCCGTAGTGTGACAGAAGTACAGTGTGATATGAGTTAGATCTAAAAAAAAAAAAACCAAAGTGGTCTATGATGAAATGGTGACAGGGATGTGACTGCCACACAACAAATGAGAATATGTTCCATTACATGCGATTTTACACTGTCAGCTGGACATCAAAATGAAGACCCTGTTTCATATGTAGGAGTGAGAAGAGTTTTCTGACAAATAGCAAAAGTGGCAATGCCAAAATATTCAGTCAAACAAGCCGTGATTTTACAGCACTGTGCAAAGTTTACAGGCACTAACAGTAAAGTGAAGATACTTTCAAAAGTAATCAGATGAATAGCTTTTATTTATCAGTAAAAAAAAAAATCAATCAAATCAATATTTGGTGTGACCTGCCTTTGCCTTTGAAACGACACCAATTTTCCCATGTACAGTACACCTGCTTGCAGTTTTTAAAGGTACTCGGCAGGTAGTTTGTTCCAAGCATCTTGGATCTAAGCTGCCTCAGTTCCTTCTATCTCCACATGTAATCCCAGACTGACTCGATGATGTCATCAGGGTCCAGACCACCTGTTGCCTCACTCCTTGCTGTCGCTGCAGATAATTCTTTATGACTCAGATCTGGGACTGATCTGACGCCTCTCTGATGGTATTGCGTGATGGATGAGAGTCTAAACGTCTAAAGTGCCTAAAACCTTTGCACAGTACTGTACGTCACACTGATAAGACGAGAAGAATGTAATTTTTACATTGAAGTTTTAGTTTATTTAATTTTTATTTTAGTTGATATCCGTATCCTTTTCCCTTTCAAACTTCTGAAAGCACAATTCCCAAAGTCAAACAATCGTTTTTCCGTCTTGGAGAAAGAGAGACATGGAGCCACTCACAAATTTCGTTTGTAAGAAAATTGAAAAGTAAGAGAAAATTGGTGAGTGTGAAATCACTCATACGTGCCACTTAAGAACAAATTTGTTTATATGTGTAGTACCTGCATGAAGCTCGCTGTATATCAGAATTATCATTTGGTCTATTTCAGTAGAATAATATAATTATATATGACTTTACACATTTGTGAACAGTTTACTAATTAAAATCTTGTGTAAATGAGACCTGAATCAAATTAAGAAATATTATTTGTTGGTGCGGTTTGATGTAATGATGCTGCTTTAATGCTTTTTCATGTTAGCAGATATTTATTTTATTTATTAGTTTTGTCCACCTCTGATCTCAACCCAGTACTGTTGACTGACTTTACAAACCGTGCTAATATTCAACTCTCACACTGAATATTTGTCTCCCTGTGTGATTTCTTTTATTTTCATTTTGTGACTCTGCTCTGAATCTCCAGCTCATTTATTTATTTATTTGTCCATGTGTGTATTGCAGAGCTTGGCCTGAACGCAGAGGTGACAGAGCTGTTAAATGAGTGTGAGCAGCCGGGTTTGGTCCAGAGTCTGCTGCTGCCTGAGGATTTGGCTCTGCGACACCTGCCTGCTCTAAACGTAGCTCACCGCCGCCTTGACTTTACTCACCGCAACCCTTCCCTCAGCCCCTTACAGGAGGTAAACTAACACACACACACACACACACACTGGATTCAGCTTTTATAGATATTTGGTGTAGACACATTAGCTCCACTGCATAATCTACCAGCTTATTGTTGTACAAACATGACAGGTGGTTTGATAGTTGCCTTTTTTCATTGGTGTGTTTTCTAGGCAACACAGAACAGTGCCGATGTCAAAACAGTTTATTACAATCATTAATGCAATTTAAGGAAAGATCAATTAATTCAATTGCTGTCTTGTTTCTTTGGGGGGGGGTGGGTTGCTACTTGGTGACAGCCCACAACACATTATCACCTCATACAGTTGTCATGGCTAACATGACACAGTACAATGTTAGCAATCTGCTAAATGTTATACCACGTTTATCACGTAGTTGCTAACTGCGTCTGTCTGCCGTTTGGTGCTCAGCAGGTAGAAGATTCTGTTTATCGCTTGAGCTTTTTGGCTGAAAACAACGAGCTGAAAGATGTTAGAAGTCGTGTAGAGCTGAGGGGAACTGCAGAGTCGAGTGATAAGTCTCTGTGGGTTCATCACCATGAGCGCCACCTCTCATTACCTGTTATTTGACCCATTGTTAATATAGAAATCTTTATAAGAGCAGTTTAAATCCACTAAAATGTTTATTCTATATTTAACATTTATAGGTATAATTGTTATTATTTCATCTCTGTGTCTTAACATGATTCAGCCACTGAAACATGTTAACACACATGCATGTGCACCTGCCCACTTAACTTGCAGTTGTTGCAGTTTATGGGTAAAAGACCTTTAAAGTGAAATTATCCAACACGTGTTGATATCTTATCATCAAACATGTATCCTTTGAAATGCTTTAAATCTTCAAAACATTTTCTTCCATCTCTTTCCTCCAGTGTGTGGTGCGAGTGTGCTGCATTCGCAGTTTTGGCCACTTCCTCACAAATCTCCAAGGCAACGTGCTGCACTTCAACCCGGAGGCGGGCATCTTCACCAGCATCAGCCAGTCTGAACAGGATAATCTGGTGCAACAGGCCAAGGCCCAGTTCCGAATGGTGAGTGACATCTGAACAGAACAGTGGCCAGAACAACCACATGGGGCCCTCCATTCAGTCAAGTCTCATTACCCTGTGGGAGAGTTTAGACATTAAAACAAATGGTGATGTTTAATGAGCTGCAACCAAAACACTTCCTACTTTTACTGTCCCATTTGACGTTGACCGTCCTTTCTTTATCTGTAATTGTCCAGGCTGAAGAGGAAGCTCGTCGAAATCGCTTAATGAGGGATATGGCCCAGCTTCGACTACAGGTTTTTACATTATCACTCTCTCCTCTGACTGTTTACCCTGTCTGTGTTTTCTGTGAAATCTGAGCAGCAGTACAGCATAGACACAGCTGTGTGCTGTTTGTCATCACAGTCATAAACCAGCCAACATCCATCTAAATCTCATTATTACACATCCCAGAGAGGCAACAGGAACAGTATGGCAGCCCTTATATAGTCATGTTATGTTTCTGGGACCATAACACCCACATATATCTTCCATTAATCACACATCATCAGCTGTTGGGTTTTTATTTGTCTGATCCTTGCAGTTGGAGGTGTCGCAGCTAGAGGGCAGCCTCCAGCAGCCTAAGGCACAGTCGTCCATGTCTCCCTACCTGGTGCCAGACACAGCTGCTCTCTGCCAGCATCTGAACCTGATCCGACAGCTGGCCGGCAGCGGCTGCTTCATCATCATCATCCCACGGACAGGTCAGTGCGCTGCCTCCTCCTCTGTGTGTCCTAAACAGCAAGAGAGGGTGAGGTGTTTGGTTCAGATCCCTGGCTTTACTGTAGAGAGGGGCAATTGTGCAAAATATCAGACTATTTCTTTACTACGGTGCAGAGATTTCAGTTCAATATTCTCACACTTAGTTTATTTTATTATTTTTTCTTGTCTTCCAACGGAGTATTGTTAGTTGTAAAATGTTTTTGTGTTTGGTTGCGGGCGGGCGGGAGGCGTTACATACCTCTAAACAAAAAGCAGGATTGTTGGGACAGCGGATCGTGCGCATAGAGACAGTTGAATCCTTTTTTGTGGAGTTTCACTCAGCACTTTCCAACCTGTCACAGAAGCTAAGAAGTACATCATCTCATAATGTGCAGGTATTGATTTTAGCAAAAAACTTTAATGAACTTGCACGAATAAATCTTTTTTGCACTTGATTAGTCCACTCATTTTCTACCACTTATCCTGGTTCAGTTTGTGTTCATTTATTTAATTATATCATTAGGAATTATTGCTACATGCTGCCGAAAATAATGAATAATTCTAGACTGTTTCATCCCTAATGCTTTTCCATCATTCTTAAACACATTGGCCAGTGTGATTACACAGGTATTAAACAGGTGTTAAATTTAATTCTATTGAAATGTCTTACTCATCTAGAAACCCTGATGAATACAGACATATATATATATATATATATGTCTGTTTATATATATATATAACATAAGTTAACTGCAAATAAGGGTACATTTTCTTAACAGTCATTCTCAGATTGCATTATTATCGAGTTCATTGCATGTCCAAAATTCAAAAAGTGTATTGGCTTCAAAACCCATTCTTCACCCTGGTTTTTGATGTATTTCTGTTCATCTCACTCTTCTTATCTAGTCACAGAAAGACGCCTCTGTTTTAGTTTTTGGGGCAGAATATTATATTTCTCAGTACATTTGAATATTTGCTTGTATTCTAATATTAAAAAAAAATAAAAAAAATGCAGTAAATTAATTCATAATTGATCAGTTGAAGCCCTAAACATGTCACTGTGGTTTGACAGCTTAGGTTGAACACACATGATTCATATAACGTACAGAGCCGCTCTAGAGCAATGAGACTGAGCAGACAGTCAGACTGGCAGTGACATTAAATCTCTTTATTTTAACCAAAAGTTCAGTTCCAGCTTTAAACATAATGCCCTGTTCACAAGGTCAGTCCCTGACTCACATTCAGACTGTCAGACTTGATCTGGACTGCTTCTGTGTTGTAGTAATTGATGGACTTGACAGACTGAAGAAGGAGAACGCCGGAGCGAGGGATGGCATCCGCTTCCTGGAGTCTGAATTTCGCAAAGGCAACAGGTGTGTATCTGTGGTAAAAGTATAGTGACTGATGAAGCTCCTCACCGCTCACCTTCTTAGAGAGAGTTTCTTGGCATGTGTTAAAAACAAAGTTCACTTTTTCTCCATAAAACGTCCTTGTTTTAAAGGGTGATGTTGTTTATCACGTCCTTCTATAGGTACATACGCTGCCAGAAGGAGTCGGGTCGAAGTTTTGAAAGAGATAAACTGAAACGGCAGGACATTGAAGCCTGGTAAAACATTGCTGCCCTTCTGTTTGTTTTGTAACGCACTCATCGGATGGCTTAGACTTTGACTGGTTCTCTCCTGTATTTCTAGGCATCTATACAAGATGGTGGACAGTTGTCGGCAGTTGACAGTCTCCCAGAACAACGGAGATGAAGATACAGCCGGCATGGTGACCATTCTTACCGGCCATCAAGTGGAAGAGCTTTGCACTCGGTCAGCAGCGATGAAGGTCAGTCACTCACTGCATTTTGTAGCATTACCACCGATATGAAGAAACTCTCGGGGAGCGGACGTTTACCACCAAACCCAGCAAAGTTTAACTGACTTCCGTTTCTGCTGTTTTTCGCTGCAGTGCTGCCTTCACTGGACTCTGTTCATTACAGCTCTGTCCCTGTTTTGTCATATTTATAGTACTACAGGAAATGTTTGTTATATAATACCTATACTTCAAGGTAACATTTTAGTTTGAAGTTTACTAACATCTGTATGGTTTGTATACTGTGACCATTTAGACCTTCTCAATAGAAAGTTGTGTTGGAATATTTGTACTGGCTGTAATGACTTTTGAAATATTGAGGACAGTTTTGTAGTTCACCTGTTTTCTCCCCCTGCCAGGCGGCGATGCAGGCGGCTGGCTCGGCGGGCATGGAGCTGAAGAACATCGTGGAGTTCTACCGTCAGTGGAAGGAGATCGGCTGAGAGGTCAAAAGGGGGGTAGCTGTCAGTGCTGCGAACAGCTGATCGATCACAACACTCGCTCCCTCTCTCTCTCTCCCACTCTTTTGCTCTGTGTGTATCTGCGTCTCCAAAGGCAAAAAAAAACAACTCAAAAGAAAGCTGCATCGAAGGAAAAGAGGTAAAGCTTAGAGAGCTGGAAAAGTAAATACAGTGGAGTAAAAAAATAAAAAATAGAGAAATGTGGGCGACATGGCGCTATAAGAAACAGCAGATCTCCCACTCCCAATCCTAAACATAAAGAGTGACCCGTGGTGGTCGGGGTGAGGACACAGTGGGGGGATGCTAAACAACTTTTAAGTGCCCCTGGTTCACACCCTAACCAGGAATACACTGTATATGTTAGCAAACGAGTACATACTTGTCGAGAGAGAAACCGCACACACACATAAACACACTCGCGCTCAGATGAATCCATATAGATATTTAGAGCAGTGGTTTGGATTTCTGTTTTCCCCCTTTCCCCTTTCCCTTCAGTCTGTATTTGAAAAAAACAGGGTCAGGAATGTGCGAGTCTGGTAGGGCTGCGGTTTGTAAAGTCGAGGGTGTATGAAGACATCTTTGAGATAGAGGAAAACACTCTCTGTCCAGCTGACACCCCGAGTCTTCCAGCCTTCAAAAACAAACCAGTGGTCTCGTAGCTCATAGGCCGGAAAGGTTGAGGAAGACAGATGTACACTTCTTCGGGATCGGTTTCTTTCCTATATGGCTTTTTTAAATTTTATTTGGTTTTGTTTTTCTTTATTTGCGGTGTAATTTTGTGACCAGTGACTTATGTATTGTGCTATCTCTATTTGAGAAAATGGAAAAAAAAAACACGACAGGTGTCGCCCTGTTAAAGGTTTTAATTTGGATTTTATTTTTGTACCCAAATGATGTTGTTTATTTTGCTTTTTGTAAAGCTAAAGCTAAATCTGAATGATATATGCAAGAATGTCTAAACGAAAGGGAAAGGGTTGTTATCGTCTGTTGATCCACTGAACAAGTTCTTCAGATCTGAGGAAGAAAAAAAAAAACCGTATAATTCAGAATTTATTTATCAAGGTGTCGTGTTGGAGGGAGGGAGGGCGGGAGGGAGTGAGAGAGGGAGGGAGGGGGAAGCTGATTAGCTTCATGTTGTAGCTAGTCATCAAGGAGACTCGGAGGAGAGAGGGCCGGCTGACTTGACCCTGAGGAATGTGGGTTGTGTTTGGACCCCTGTAAACTCCTAAAATGTATCCCATCTACATCACCATTTCCATAGTGACTGTCCCATCATGCACAGTGCAAAAGAAAACCAGTATATGTGTGTGGCCATGCATTGAACAATAAAAAGAAACTCATAAGATGCTGACTTCAGTCTTCTTATCACTTCTCTGTGCTGCTGCTGACCTCCAGTCGTCTCCTGTGGTTCTGGAGGGAGGGAGCTGCTTTTCAGTGGGCGTGTTGCTCAGGTGAGACATGATATATGATTTAGAAAGTCCAGTTTAAGTTACAGATCTGAGAATGTGAAAGCTTCTCAGGCGCTAAAACACTTCAGGGCTTTATAATCCTCCGAGACAGGTTTTTACAAGTGGAAATTTATCACGGCAGAAACTATTTTATCTTTCATTGCAATGATTCTACGATAAACAAATACTCAGTTCACACTACAACTTAATCTAACAGGAATGTGTGCTTGCATTTGATTGGCCAGTGCAGTGTAGTGCCATGCCGGATGACATTTCATAACATTTTTGCCAGATGACCCGGTTTTTTGCCAAAGCCTCCTGCATCGTGGCTTATCAGAACAATCACAAATTGGTGTTTGGAAGCAGTGCTACTGTTTGTGGTCTGCTGATAAAAATAAAAACGGTGATGAAACAAGCTAGAGTAATAACTTCACATTTCCAAACATTGTGCAGCAGAGTTTCTATTCAACAAACACACACAGGCTCGGTCAAAGATGAGCTACACCACTGGAGCAGCTGGAGATGGCAGCGAATGAGGAAGCACACGCTTGAATTTGTATTTCACTTCTATAGAAGTCACATTACATTTCTCAGTATACAAATATTCGCTCGAATACTTGTATACTGGCTGTTTAAGGGAAACAGCCAGTATACAGTGTATACAGTTTTTAAGGGAAACAACCAGTATACAAATATTCGCTCTGGCTGTTTAAAGGAAACTGTCAGGCCTTGAGTTAATATTTGTATAGCAGGAAGTATAATGTGACCACAGCATTAAGCCTGAAAAACGACCCTGATGCTGTCACCCAGGAACTATAAACTACAAAACACAAAGCCTGTTTTACCAAATGGGGCTGTGGAGTTTGACAGACATTTATCAGGCATGGAGAGTCTAATGAAAGCTGCTACTGCATTATGGGAAAAGTAAGCACCAGTGTTGACCTCAGCTGCACTGATTCGATTTTGACCTTTTTTTTTTTTTAATGAGTGTCGCAAGTTTCCCAGCTTCGTAGACTGATTAGCTCACAAGACAGTAGACAACCGGTACGCACACAAGAAAAATGATAATATTCACTTCCACATACTCAAGAAGAGAAATATGTTCTGTCTCAGCTGCCATGCATTTTCTATAAATTGTACCAAAAACAGAAATCTCATTAAAGGGCCGACTCAACATACGAGGATTATTCAACTGAATGTTTCTCAAACAGATTAATCCACAAATCTTAATACATACAGCAGTGAAACACAAAATGACACTGTGATGTAATACAACAGTAAATTACTGAACTTATGTAAGTGATTTATCAGGCAGTTAGGTGCAGCCTCTCGATCTAAAATCCTTACAGTGAACCTGAGTGACCTAAACCCCGTCAACTCCTCGAGTCTTTTCAGACACCTGTCTCTGCCTCTTCTCTAAAACTAGGTCTCCATGTGCCATTCTCTCTCCTCTCCTTTTTTTTTTTTCCCTCTCTTCCACCTCTTGTGTTCCTCTCTGTCCCGGGCCCCATGCCCACCGCTAGCCGAACACACAGAATAACCAATCCCCAGTCAGCAGGGTCAGTGCCACCCTAACAGGAGACGGCTGGCATTGGTGCTGGCCCATTTTTTTTCTGCTGGGTAAGGGGGTTGGGAAACCTCACTGACCCAACAAAATCCTCTTTCTGGGAGCCCATGAAGCTGTAGGGCTGCAGGGATCTTGGAGTGGACGGATAAGGCTGCTGAGACAGGATGAGAGGTTTAAACATGCACAAAACAAATTAGTTAAACTCATAAGTTAGTTAAAAGTGCCTGTGATCTGCCTGAGAAATGTCCATGCAGGGGTCAGTGCTCGCAGTGGGAAAATGCCTCGCCTGCTTGGAGTTTATGTGTAAGTAACTTCTTCTTTATTTGTCTCTCTGGACATGCTTGGACTTGCACATGTGCATCTCATTGGTCATTGTCTTGCATAATATCTCTTCATGCATTTCGTTGCCGTCCATGTTTGCCCCCATGTTAATGATGCTGGAGCTCTTGTCCTCTCTGCCTCGTCTCCCCAATCGGGGAAGACAAGCTTTCTTTTCTTTGCCACATCCAATAGAAAAAAAGTCTCAGCCCTGAGGGAGGGATTTCGACATCGGAGGGTCCAGTATTGTTTTTATTCGTCTGCTGCAGGAATGTGCGGAGGGAGAGGAAGAGAGGCGGGTGTTTAGTACAACAGGGACAGGCCAGACTGGGGAGTATAAGGATGGACTTATAACTTTTTCATCCCCCAAAAAAAAGCCAAATCAAAAAAAAAAAAAAAATAGTATTTTTTCCTTTCGACGCTCCGGAATCGCTTCATCTGTCTGCAATGATCCGATTGGACACAGAAAGCTGAAAGGTCAGACCAGGTTTCTGTGTGTCAGCAGCAGTTTTTCATCATATAGCAGCGCAGTTGCACCGAGCGTGACTGAACTGTCTAATGGTCCAGCAGACCCACTCCCCCTCCTCACACCCGTGTGTACTTTCTCCCGTACGTCACTCCCATTTATGGGAACTGAATGTCTTTGCCAAAAAAAAATTACTTGCGAAATATTTGAGGACAGCAGATACCTTCGTGTTTTCTTACTTCAACACGACAAACAAGTCCACACAATTAACAGGGTTTAAAACCGCTCATCATACTGTGACGCAATTTGTATGCGCATGTTTTCAGTGTCTGCTGGAGCATCCTGTGTCAGTATCTGCCTGAGTCCCCATAAAAATGGTTTATTAGTTTTAATGCTTCTTCTTTTTTACTGTTTACTCTTCCTCTTATTTTATCTTTTGTGAAGCTGCACAATATCGAAGTTTTCTCCATGTTTTCTACTCTTCGTCTCTTACATTTTGAGGGTTATAGTCACTTTGCAAACTGATATTTTTTACCTTCAAACCATGTAATTGACTAATATAGTATGATGCATTGCTATAAATTAAACAACCCTGTGGTAAATAAACTCCACAGCTCCACATTGACCAACCATAACATTAAAATAATACTATTGTATCAATAGCCTGCATGCAAATTCAATAACAAACTGTAAAATAGTATAACAATCTGAAAGGGGCCATTCTGCATAAATTAATGCTGTTAATTACATGTAAGTACATACATGATGTACTTTTACTTAAGTAAAAGATTTGACTGCAGGAACTTGTATTGGAATAGTTTATACTGTAGTTCTGCTTCCTAAAGTGAGAACTGATTCCACCACTGATGATTTTCACAAGTTTTTTTTATAAATTAGATTATTGAAATTTCTAACTAACAATTACTAACTAGCTAAAATAATCAACACAATTCAAACTCAAAATAACTTTATTTATCCGTCATTTGTGTAAAAGCGTCAGTGTATACACAACACATAGTCAGAAAAACTAACAAACACAGAGTAGACAACAAACAAGTGCAGCTTAACTAGTGTAAAGCAGTTTAAGATACTAAGGGTGGTTAAAATAGTCCATAGATAAATAGTATAAGTGTAATATCTGAAGCTATTTTGATAAAAATTAATAATTAAAAGTATATCACTGAAAAGCCTTTTTTAAAACTGATAGTAGATTACTTTTATTTATTTTAGAGGCTGTATCTACGCCTGTGATTCAAATCCAACAGCAAACAATGTTTGTATCTAAACCTTGATCTTGGAACAATAAGAACACAAACATGATGATATCAAGGAAGGAGGAAGGACTTAGTGCAAAGTCTCGTCCTGGCTCCAGAAGTAATCACAAAAACTTTGTAACACCAGTAGGGAGTCAGCACAGTGATGACATCACCTGTGAAATATGTCCTTGTACCATAATTTTAGTACAACAGCTGAATTTTTAATGAACTGTGAACAGTTTGTTTTTATACTGATGTTACACAAAAGGAGGCGGTATCAGTCCTGTGGAATTTTCCCACAGGGACAATAAAGTTTTGTTGTTTTTTTTTTTTCTATTGAATAATACAGCCTGTTATTTTAAGGATCCAGAGTAATATGCTATGCGGCTGGGTGTGTCATTTGTCACACAGAATATGACTGTGAATGGTGTATTTTAATTTGCTTTTTTGGAACATGACACTTTATCAGCTGTCATCAATCAATCAATCACTTATTTTGCCAAAAACATTGGTTTATAGATCGTATCTACAAGGTCTAGCACTTGACTCAGCCTTATAAAGTCCAGTTTCAATCATGCAATTTAATGCAAGCTAATGATCAAGCAAACAAACTGTGGAAAATTATAAGAAGTGGGAGGAGGGGAGGAGGTCGCTGACCCTCAAACAAATAGTCTCAGTAGTTTGGTGAAGCGGTGCTGTCATCAGGGCTTGTATTGAATGTGTGGGACTTGAATAAATTATCTTTTGTGTCACACTGGTCTGGGTTTGGATGAACTCGACACTAGACCTTTGCAGAGATATGATGGGATAGAAAAGTTGTGTTGACATAAAACTGGATGTTTATCCTGTGCGGAATAAAACAGGATGTCCTCTCTGGTTAGAGTTGAGACAAAGGAGTGCCCCCCACAGGTTCATGTAAAAGCTCTAATTCATCAAAGTCATGTGACAGAAGTAAGTCAAAGGCAACTGGACTTCCTGTAAC